AAAAAAAAAAAAAAAAAAAAAAAAAAAAAAAAAAAAGCGTGTTCTATTGGGGGGGGGGGTAGAGGAAGATTTAACATCCTCAACTTTTTTTTTTTTTTTTTTTTTTTTTTGAAGCTCTTACAACAAGAAAATGGAGGGGACACATCTGGGTGGGAGGGGGGAGAGAGGTTATGGTGATGGGACACAATAACTAACTACATTGTATATTGACAAAATAAAAATAAAAAATAAAAAAATAAAATAAATAAAAAAATGTATCCACATAGAAAAAAAAAAGATAAATATTTTCAAAATAACCTCCTCTTTATGCTTACCAGCAATTTGGGGGTCATTGCCATGCAAGCATTCTAAAATAGAACGACCTTTTTATCAGATCAAAGATTAGCAATTTTGAGCTGTTTTGAAATAAATGAATTTTAATAGAGACCCTTTTGCTAAGCAGAAGTTAATGCAGAAAAGGAAAGCATTTTCACCCATAATTTGTTTATCCTTTTTATATTTACATTGAAAAGTGTCTGGAATAGAAATCAGATGTAGACCATTTCTCTGTATTTTTTACTATATATTAAATGCAAACTTATAGTCTACGTAAATCTGCTTCATATATTAAAATCCATTAAAAATCTCTGCTCAGACTCCTAAAGCAGTAGATTGAAGCATATCTGAGCCTTTCTAAATCTGAGAAATATTTTGCATAAAGAAAGAATCATGGACAACTGGCATTCTAAGTGCATTCCATCACACATTGTTCTTTACAGTTGATAATAATATGTCAGCGTGGGTGGAAGAAGAGAGGAGTTGGCAATTTATTTTTTTCTGCCTGGTCTTCAGAGGCGCTTTATACTGTTTCCAGTTAAAAGTCTCAGCTGTACAAGTTGCTGGGACTTCATTATGAAAGTGACTTGTTGCTCTCTTGGATGAAAACTGGGATGGCTAAACAAAATATTATAAAGTAAAAACTTTATTACCTAGAACTTGGCTCATATGTTTTTAAAGAAAGAGAGGAAAACAATTCGACAGTAGGAATGAAGTATAAACAGCCATTTCTACAGTAAGGTTTGAGGCCAGAATCAATTATTTTTCTATACTTCCAAAAATTTTATCCTGAGCCATGAAAATTTATGTTCTGGATGATAATCCTGAGGTGCTTTCATAAGATTAATCATCAAAGAAAGATTTAAATGTGCGTATTTGATTGTATTTCCTAAAGTCAGAAAGTGACCAAAACCAGAAAATTTTCAACAGAATTTACAATGAAAAAGGATTTATGCTAAATTGTCAATAAACAAGAATGTCTTATTGTAAAATATTTTATCAACATTTTAATATTTTAAAGTTATAACTAGAGTTTAGACATTTATTCAAGCTCATGGCTATAATTCATACTTTTATAATCCTAAAGGATTTGTTTGAAATTAAGAAAAAATACTTTTACAAAAAATGTTTAACATAGAGTGCAAATGTAAAACAATACATTATTGTTTAATCCATATTACTAGAGAATCATAGGGTTTCTTTCTTTTAAAATATCCTATGTCCCCAGTCCCCTCCGTGTCTTGCAGCTATGAACATACTAAGTAGTGAAGCAATTCCTGTAACAACTGGTGGGACTTCTCTTGTATTACTTCTCAGTCATCCGTATTAATCCACTTAATAGGTAACATGAACTGTGTAGCCATTTTTTTCCCTGAAATTAATCATTATTTTCATGCTTTGTTACATATAGTAGTAGTTATAATAATTGGATATTATATTTACAAGGTGAGATGTATTCGTTTTCTAGTTGGTCTTTGAATTCCTTAGTACTTCCTTCTCCTTTGTCGCTATTTTAAATACAAGAGTATTTCAAAAAGTTCATGGAAAAATGGAATTAAAAGAGAATATAGATCGTTCCATGAACTTTTTGAAGACCCCACATATGCTCTTAAAGATAAGATTCTTTCATTATAGAATTTCCTTTTCATATACTTCTTTTTTTGGGTGGAGTGGCATAACAAAAATACTTTTACCCTTATAAAAAGTTATGAGTATTTCTACTAATATTTTGTTAAAATTATATATTTACCTCCTTACTTTGTCCTTTAAAACTAATTCCTGCACAATATTGGCGAACCAAAATGGTAATACTAGAATCTGACAATGTGAAAACTTGCAGAAATTCCAAGTTTTAAAGTAAATTGATCTATCTGATCTAGAGAGGAAATACACATTCTAATTACTTTGATTTTCCTCAATAAAGAATCAATAGTAATATTTACTTTTTGATTTATGCTATAATCAAAGCAATTAGTCTTTGACTTGGAGCAGTACCTAAATCCTAGCACATTTCCATTAGAAATACATTAGAATACTTTTTTAAAAAATTAAATTTAAGTAAAAGGAATAAACCTACCACAAAAACTCAAAGTATGTAAGTAGTCTGGGATTGTTACTGTTCATTAAATTATCCTGATTGTGGCTTCAATTTTTTCCCTTTTAATTTCTTTTCATCATCTGTTTAAATCTTAATGCTAGACTTTGGTTGCTGAAACAGGCTTGAAACTAACTTACTATTAAGACTAAAAATCATTTACTAATTATAAGGGGACAGTTCTGTTGGTTAATTTATTTACCTATTTGTGGCTTCAGTAATAGTGAAATGACTTTTAGAATGTTTGGATATTCATCAACTTAAGTGAACTCTCTGTTTCAATTTGACTGCTAGGCATTTTCTGTTTGTTTCAACTGTCCACCCTCCCCAACCTGAC